CCCCCCCCCTCTATCACCGCCGCCTCACGTACACACACACAGAATACTCTCCCTCCCAAACACGCATATACAAAACCGCTGCGGTGCAGCCACTACGCCTCCAGCCCCACAATGTCTACAATGGTGCTCCCGCGGATAACAGTGGTGCCGAGTGCCGTCTTCTCCTCAGTTCCGCCGTTGTGCGGGTGGTGACTCTCATCAACGGCGTCGAAGAGGACGACACTCATGAATTGGTCGACGCCCCGCAATTCACCCGAGATGGAGCGGCCTCCCTGCAGCTTCACCATAACCCGCTTCTCCATGAAGTGGTTCAGATTGGGAAGGCTGTTCTTGGGGGGCATACTCGTTGAATCTTGCCTCTCCTTCTTTGTCTGTCTGTGTGTGTGTGCTACCACCAGACAGTGGTGGTTGCTGCTGCTGCTGCTGTTTATATTAGCCACGCGTTCACGGGCACAACTTCGAGGAAGACAGAAACAAGAAAAACAATTGATACAACACTAAGGAAGCAAAAAACTTTGCAGCTTTGCCCAGTAGAAGACTCGTACATAACAGAAATGAACTTATACATAGCCTGCAAACAGCACTACCGAAGTAACGTGTGCCGCTCGATCATTCACGCAAAGCGATTGAAGCTCTCCTCTATTTGGCTCTTCACAAGCCTCAGATCAATCGCCTGTTTTCTTCATTCGTGCTGTTGTTGTTAAAACACAAGAGACGCTCCCCACCACATGGTGGTAAAGATGATGCTCTACATATGGACAAGAGAGGAAACATTTAATGGGATGGCTTACTCAGCGTCAACCTCCATTCCGTCCCCAATGTCTTCCAGCAGCTTCCGACGCTTACCTTCCAAGTCTTCGAGCTGCTGAAGATTGCGACTCTTGTCCTCCTCCACAACCGTCTTGTAATCCTCAGTCATCTTTTCCAAGTACTCCTCCAGACCCTCAGTCAGTTGGGTGACACCATGCACGTGCGTGCTACGGCGCTCACGCTGTTTTGCAGCTGCACGTTTTTCCTTTCCAGCGCGGTCTAGATTCTTGTCACGGACGCTCTGATTCTCCAACAGCTGGCCAATAATGCCCTTTTCATCTGGCATCATTGTGTAGAGCGAGGGCGAGAGCTCCAGGAGCGTCACGCTGCCGTCAATGCAACCTGCGGCAATATGTTTTCCCTCCACAGTTGGCTTCGCTGTGTGAAGGGCATAGTCTGACACTTGCACGCTTAGGGTAGGGGTGGACTGGCGCAGCATCAAGTCCCACAGATCAAGGCATCCATCCATTCGGGTGGTAAAGAACACACCGGGCCGCACCGTATGCCAAGAGCCGCTCGTGAGATACGACTTGTGGTAGAAGGTGCTAAACAAAGGCGTGAACTTGAAATCCTCAAACCACATCCGCGCCGTCCAGTCACCAACAGACAAAAAGTACTTTGAGAAGAAGGGATTGCGCTGCACAGAGTACACAGGTCCGTGGTGGCCATTAAACGTGTTGGGGCCGATCTTATCCGCCTGTGTCTTGCCCTTCCGATTACATGAGAGAATGGTACCTTGCTCTGTCCCGATCATGTACTTTGACGGACCACCAACCTGAGGGTCGTAGTCCAGACAGAGTCCGCCAAGGACCCCCTTGGAGCCACCCTCGTTGCTCTTCGGGTGGAGCAGCAAAGAGTCCTCTGGGAATTTGTGCAACTCAAGCGGCTTGTCAGGGATGCGGCAGTCCCATATGTACACTTCGCCATCCGTGGATACCGAGAGCAGCTCGCCGGATTTGCTTTGCAGCCACCGTATCGCCCAGACGGGGTCCTTGTGGCTCTCCTCAATAAGGGAGCGAGCGGAGGGGCGTGTCGGCTGGCGCGTGTCCCAATACTGCACAATTCCGTTCCAACTTCCACCAGCGATGATGTGTGGGTCCTTCGGGTAGTGCTCAATGCTGCACAGCGGTGAGGGCGTGACCAATGTTTCCACCGGCGCGTTGGGATTCATCACGTCCCATACATAAGAATTGGTGTTCATTGTCGGGGCGTTGCTTTGGAATCGCAGACGGCAGTACGCCACAGCGAATCTGCGCCCGTCATTCTGCCACGAGATCGATGCAGCTGTGCGTTTCTCAGTATTGGGATCCTTAAAGACCGACACAATCTTCGCAGCCGGCGGGCCCAGCGATTCATCCTCAACTGGGGGGCCTTCACTGAAATATGTGCCGTAAATGTCAATGGCATTATTCTGCTTGATGTACTTATCCGTGCACTGGTAAACGAGGCGACGGCACGACGACAGGTAGCTTTCCTCGCGCTCCACTTTCTTGCAGTACTTCATTTTCTCCTCAAACTCTGTGGGGTCAACACCTTGTGGCCAACCGCCTTCAATGTGTGACTGAGCGTGGTGCCGCAGCTTAATTCGCTCGGTGTTTGTGCTACTCTCGGAGAGCGACGGCACGTTTTGAATTTCCGTTTCGCAAGGGTCAAGCTTCGTGTAGTGGTTTTTCAAGCCACGATTTGGTGCAATGTCGCTGAGTATCTCACCTTCGTTGGCTTGGAACTCCGGCATCCGCCCAAACTCCCTGCGGAGACGCGAGTAGCTGTACGACACTTCTGTCATGATGCAGCAGCAAGAAAAGTTTTACTCACGGGAAGTCACGCTGGCTATTCTCCTTTCTTGTTTTATGTAGATGCTGCTTCTTCCGTTGTGGGTTGCTGCTGCCGGTTCAGCTTTAAAGATACACGCGGAGATGCGTAGACAGAAAAAGAGCACACAACGAGAGGGGAGAAAAAGGACACGTAGTTGAACCAAAAAGTAAAGCTAACTAGATGGAGCCACAGATTTCTCGTCGGCTCTCTGCAAATCCGCCCACCGAGCAAAGATGTCTTGCCCCAGTTTGGTTTGCATTACGAGAGCGAAACAAAACATGAAGAAAAGGACACAAAGACGATACGGTGCATACACTCAGACGCCTTTTTGTACAGACGCTGCTGTTGCACCTCCCTCTCAGCCAGAGTCCAGCCATTCACACGTCACTATTCCTTCGTCCACGTCTTCCGCTTGATTGCGAGATCCTCTCCGCCCACACCCTCACCTGGTGCGTACGCGTACGAGAAGGAGGTGACTGTCTTGTCCTTTATGTCAAGCAGCACGAATGTGGGCACAACGTCCGGCTGCACCGGTGTGAAGGCACCGGTGATGGATCCCGGATTAATAAAGAGGTGACCGTCAAACTCGAACGTCTTGCAGTGGTGCGTAGCACCTGACACCAGCACGTCCACATCCAACTTTCGCTGCACAATGGCGAGAGAATCCTTGTCACCGCAGGGCACGATCTGGTGACCATGGATGAGACCAATCTTAAGCTCCTCCACCTCAATCACATGTGTTTCCTTGAAATTATTATGACTCCAGCTGTCAAACTCGCCCTTGGCACAGTAAACGTCGGGAGCTATGGTGCGGAAGTAGTCGTACATCTCGCGGCAGCCGACGTTTCCGGTGATGAGCACCATGTTGATACGTCCCGGCGTGAACATATGAGTGAAGGCTTCGGGTACTGCAGCCGCCCGCTGCGGCACGTGAAGGTCGCCAACAACAAGTACCAAGACCATTCGCCTTTAACTATTATTGTCGTTTGTTGCTGTTGTTTCTGCTGCTAGTCCTACTGTTATTCTCTTCTGCTTTATCTGCCCTCTCGACGCAATCAGTGCGCCGTGTAGCGCCTTGATTTCACTACTCTCCGCGTGACCGAAGTGACGAGAGAAGCGGAAAGGAGCAAGGTGCCGCGCCCACTAAACCCTCAGAGATTAAAATAAGGAGAAGGAAAAACAACAACCACAAAAAAAAGGGCAGAGACATGATGGAGAACACCGTTGCAGGCTGAAGATGGTATTTAATGGGTGAAATATGTATGTGTCGCCAGGAAAAACAAATCAAAATGAAAGACAGAACAGTCTACTGTCGTTCACCATAACTGCAAACAAAAGTGATGACTCAGTTACCAAGCATACAGACAAAAACACTGCAGCCGCAGGCGCCGCCTGGTCCAACAAGAAACTCGTTTCCACTCCTTCAATTTGTCTTTCGTCCGCCCCCCGCAGCCTTCAGTTGCGCTTGGCACGCAATGAGATCAGACTGTATCTTTGTCACAATGACCTCCGTGTCGGCCGCCCCGAGGCCGGCTTGACCCACCAGCGTTACGATAACCACTACAGCCACCAAAACGCCCAGAATAATTCGTCGTCGTCCCATCGCACGCACCAGGTTGAAGAACGTCGCTGTGGTGTGCTCCATCGAGGCGCCAGAGTGTGGACTGCTCCACGCAGCGTTCCTCAAGTCCTGCAGTTTACGGCCTGCGCTTGCGATGAAGTGCGGCTTGCCTGAATATGCACCGCTGTTGCCTAATAGTGTGGCGTGGTCGGCCACGTTGGTCTTCATAGCCACAGCTGTGGGAGGAGGCACCATCTCCGCAGGTGAAGCGGTGCTCCCCATTATCAAGCGCAGCCTCCTACGCTCTTCGTTGGCGCCTGCAAGCTCCTTTCCCAATTTTTGCCGCTGCTGCTCGGCCTGGTGAAGCAATTCATGCAGTTGCTCGTTCCGCTCCTGTTCCGTACGACACTGATCCTGCGTCACAACTAACTCCTGACGTGTGTGTTGCAGCTGCTCCTCTACATCTGTCAGTTGCCGCTCTAGATCTCCGTTTCTCTCACGCAACTCATGCAGATCCTGATACAATGCATTCAGTGCTTCTTCTCGCGCGTTATTCTCAGCTTCTGTTTCTTCCAACTTTTTTGCCAGGTCCTCGGTGATGTTGAGCATCCCACCAAAGTTCGCATCATTCACTTCCAACCCGTCGCCCTTTTTCGCCATGAGGGGCGAGGTGGATTCACATATAGTCGTCGCCGATTTCTCCCCAAAATACTCCGGGGTGAAATCCCCGCCAATTGGCGATGCTGCTGCTGGTGGTGGTGGTGGCGGTATTGATGTGGCAGCAGTTCCACCCGCACTGCTACGCCAAGCGGCCAACTCTCGTTCCAGCTGCTGAATGTGCTGCAACTGTGAATCAGCAGTGCTCTTTTTGTCTTCCCACGCGTCATTGTTCGCGCGGTCCTGCAGCGTCATTTCTAGCATTGCTTCCGACTGCCTCGATAGAGCAACTTCGAGCTGTTCAATCTGCATCTCCATATTACGGCGCTCACTCTGCGCCAACTCCTCGTCGTTTGACACGAGTGCGTCCTTCACCACATCCTCAGTGGTTTTATTTTCAGGATTGGCCGAATTCCGCAAGTTTTGCGCCTCAAGTTTGTATTTGTCACGCTCATCGCTGTATCTTTGGAGAAGCTCCTTCAGCGTCTGATTCTGTTCCTGGAGGGAACTCACATATGTCCTATCGTGGGTGTTGTGGTATTTCCTGTCAGTGCTGGTGGCCACCTCGCAGTCTGCTGCCGCCACAAGCCCATTATTTCCTGCGTTGAATCGCTCCTCAAGCAGCGCATCAATTGAAGCCTGGTTAAACTGGTGCACTAGCAGCCACGTCTCCCGCGAAGTCTTGAACTTCTGGCGCAACGCGGCCAGTTCCGCCTCAATCCCGCAGCTCTCGCTGCGGAGCTCATCCCACTTCTCGGAGGACATCTTCACCCGTCGCAACGCCTGAAGCAGACGACGCTGAAGTTCGCCAACATCAGTTGGCATGTCGCACAGCTCCGCTTCCGCATTTTCCACTACAGTGTCATCATCCTCGCTTACGTCAACAACTGTCTGAAGACGACGCAAAATGCCTTCCATCTCTCTCCCGCTTGCTTGCCCTCGTCACTCCACACACCTCAGCAAGTTGGGTGGGTATGACACTCAATTTCCAAAGTGAAACAGAGAACCAAATACAACAAAAAAAATGAAACACTGTGTCAGTGTGTGTGCGCGATATGAGATCCATCTCACGGAATAAAAGAGAAATAGCAGTGAGTGGAACAATAAAGAAACAATAATAATTACACTATAATACCAATAATATAACGAAGATAATTATAAAACGGCGATAATCGCACCCTACTGTATCTGCTTCAACAATCGCGCCATTACATCGGGGTCCATCCCGCAGACACCATCAAAAGTCCCCACAACACGCACCACATAGCGACTCAGATCCTCATCCTCCACCACAAACCCACCAGCAGCATTCATGCTTGCCCCACGAGCGATGATGGCGTCTACAACATCCTCGCCGAACGGGGAGAAAAAAGTCTCAGTATCCTGGTGCTCCACCAGAATCTTTCCAGTGTCAAGTGCACAGACAACGTAAGCGGCAACCGTACGCACGCTGCTACCCGAGTATGATGAAAGAAACGCTTTGTTCTCCTGCACCGAGACTGGTTTCTCACGTATCTCACCGTCTTTCACTGCTACCTGATCGAAAGCAACGACGACACCGTGTGTAACAGGAGGCTGTGTGTCCTTCAGTTTCTCCAGGACAGCCTGCACCTTGGCTCGTGCAATAAGCTCTGTCAACGTGTAAGGGTCACTGGCACGGTAAGCTTTTTCATCAATATCAGGCGGAAGCAGCAGAAACTCCTGGAACACATCACCAAAATGGCGGCGTAGGTTTTTGGCACGAAAAGCTGAGCTTGTGCCTATTACCATCGTCCGTCTTTCCGCATCCCGACTTGTCATACTTCAGTTACAGTTTGAAGACTCTTTACGGTTCCTTGAATAAACGTAATCCCAACAGGGAGAGTGCAAAGCGAATTGTAAGTAAGAAAAAGTCCAAGGTGGAAAGCCACGAACTTAGAGAGGAAGGGAGGGAAGGATTGGGGTTCTCCCCGATTGTGCTAAGTATCCGTAGTAACTACCATAAGCACCAACGTTGTTGTATCCGGATGGGAAAATTCTATACAGTAGAAATCAGCGGATGCTTCCACGTTAATTCAGAGAAGGGAACTTTTCAGTATCCTGAAACTGTGGGGCCACAGAAAGAAAGCCCGTAAATGCCTTCCAGCAGGTCCTGCTCCGGTTTTGATAGGAGTCACGGGCTTTCATTCCTGTACTCAGCAAAACTTGTTCCTCAAGAAGCTCACGTTGGCGCCGCCGCTGGAACGTTTCGGATTCACTCTTTAAGCGTTCCATAAATGTCTTGAGTTTTTCTCGGGGAACCCCATTATATCTTAGGATAAATGGGTGCTGCAGTAGTTTGTTAACAGACCAGCGATGCGAGGGTTCTCTCATAAGACAACGTACAATGAAGTCATGAAATGAGGCAGACCAAGAAAGTGGCTTCACCATACGTGACAACTTCAGGTTATTCACGTAGTTCCAGTAATCAGACTTGAAGGAGTAGCATGGGTTCACACCATTGCTGAGCTCCAGCAGCATGACACCAAGGGACCACACATCTGCAGCAGGAGTGAATTCCACAACTGGTAATCCATCCTCCATCTCCTTGCCGTATAGTTCACTGCGCAATCGCTCAGGCGCTTTGTACACCTTTGAGCCCAAGTCAACGCCGGTTTGGCGCACTCGATGAGTTTTAGGGTCTGTTTGGCACCCGCATCCAAAGTCTGCCAGTTTGAAGCGCGTCTTATTAAAGTCAAGGAGCACATTTGCCGGCTTCAGATCACAGTGCACAATGGAGTAATCCTCATGCAACTCTTTAAGACCCTTGAGCACATCAGCTGCTAGCATCGACAATATGATCTCGGGGACAGGAGCCTGTCGATCAATGTTGGTCTCCCACTCCTCCGGTGTGTTGTACGAACTCCTCCCTGTCAGATGCATACAGGAAGCAGATTGCTGTTTCAATAGATTTTCAGTCTGCTTCTGTACCTGAGCCGATCCTGCAAGATGCTTGCGAAATATGGACTGGGTCACCTTCATCATTTCATTTGCAGGGATACGTGAGAACATTCGTTGTGCATCTTCCACACTGAAACTCATCAACTCCATCAGTATATAGAGGTGCTGTCGCCCATTGTCAATTGTTGCGGCAGCATTAAACATTTGCATCAAATGCTCAGGGCGTTCCTGCAAACGTTGTAGCCGAATCATATTGAGTTCCTTCACAAGGCCCCGTTTCCTTCCTTGTCGTTCAACGGCGTTGGTAGCCTGTGTCACTTCTTTGAGATCTATGCACTTAAGGGCATACAACTTTTCATCAAGCATGACGCGGTGAACTGTGCCTTGGGAACCGTTTCCAATGAAGCATAGTGTCACCACCGCGTCCAAGTCCAAGGAACGATTCGTGCGGCCAACATCCTGTGCGGAGAACACCCGACCAACTTGTTTTGCGCCACAAGAAGCATATTTATGTCCACCATTCTTCTCCGAAGTATTGTGTTGGTTCGGCTCCGTCACTGTTGATACAACAGAAGAAGTAGGTGGCTCGTCAGGTACAGGCGCCGCATAGGTCTCCGCAACCTTTCGGGGGGCCGATGCGGGAACCACAATGTGTCCAGCAGTAACGCTGCTTGGTAGAAAACCACGAATTCTAACAGCAGTAGAAGCGCTTCCCGCTCTAGCATTCAAAGTCTTTGTCAGTGAGTCATTGTTGTTTGAGAAAAGCACAGCATATTCCTTTGGTACATCTGTCTTGTGTCTCTCCACTGTACTCAACGTTGTCTCAGTCCTTGAATACACCCCTCCTCCTCCTCCTCCTCCACCCACAGGTGCAGTTGCAGCCACAGCAGCTGCGTTGCTACTAGATGAGGCCACAGGAGAGCTGGATGGAGCTTGTGGTCCTAGGGAGCTCATGCTCTCAAATGAGCGCTTGGCTGTTGGAGACACCGCAGTCGACGACGCGAGCGATGAAAAACAATCATTACCAGCATTCTCAATGCCACGAATAGCCGCCTCCACAGAATCAACAACAGTCGTCGGATTGGTCTGATGTGCCTTCTTTACGCTCTTAGCAGCTGAAGTGCCCTCCACTTTTTCCCCCAGACGATGTGATGGTACCTCCTCCTTGTGTGCTGCCTTTCCCTCAGTAAACATGGACACACCATCCATCAGGACGAAGAGATTCGTGTTGTTTACATGGAAAAAGCGCGCGGGAAAAAGAGGTCCTTCTGTAGTGACCATCGGTGAAACACTATTGTCGTCCACATTAATAAAAAGTTCATTCTTCGGCTCCGCCTGTACGTGCAGTTCGTCTGAAGTATCAGGCGGTGGTAGTGCAAGGGTAAACCCAGGGGGCGGGGCCTTTTGTCTCCGCACCCGCATTCTCTACCCTTCTTTCCCCCGACGTTACCGCGGGCAGTGGGGCTGCTAGTTGGAAAAAGATACAGGAAGAAAACTTGTCCGCATTCCAAGTAAATGCGAGAGAGGTGGGCAAGTGACAAGAACAAAACAAAACCAAAACCCGGAAAAAAAAATCTTTTTTTTGGTCGTATCAGAAGTCACACGTGGACACACGCAGACCTAAAAAAAAAAAAACAGAGAGCGGGCAAACTGAAATCCGATTCCGCACACAGTAACACGGGTGACAAGGGAAGCAGCACTGGCCCCGCACAGAGTAGACGGGGGCGCACATGTTCTTCTTGCACTTCTCACGTATCGCATACCTGGTCAGTCGTCGTCCTCCTCCACGACGGACTCCTTCGTGAACGTCGAACGCTCGTCGAGCGCTGGGGGGTTCCGCACACCAAAGTACCGCACATGCGGTTCCGGCAGAGGGTCCCGCGGACCACGGACTTTCGCCCGCGCTGCGCGAATGGCATCCGCGAGAGCCTCACGCCGGGCGAGGGTAGCGATGTACCACGGAGCCAGCAGCACTGGCGCCGGTGACGCCGAACCTGAGACGCCATCCTCGCTAATCTTTACCGTGTGCACGGACCGCTTTCCTGTTGCACTGTCCTCGCGGTGCGCCGACGTCGATTCCGGGATGCCCCTCCGCCCCGCTTTCGCCGCCGAGTCACGTGACATGGCATCCTCATTTTCGGAGTCTGTATCGGTTGTTGTGTGCGTAGCGCCTTTGCGACGCCGCCGCTGGTAGTGCTCGTGTTGCCGTTCACGCAACAGGAGCTCCCGCTTTCGGCTAGCAATGTCCGTCTCCCGCACAGGCCGCTCGCCGAGGTCCCATCGCTCAATGAAACTCATAACACTAGAGCGAACACGTTTGCTTACATTTACAAACAGCTGGCACTCCGCGAGAGCCGCAGCAACCGTCCAACCTTGATAGCGTCGCATGCAGCCCACAACAACACTTGTCTGCATCTCCCCAGTCGGGCAGGCGAAAAGGACAGGTTGGAAATCTGTTTGCAGGGCAAAGTCAAGGGCATGTTGCACATCAGAAACAGCAAAGTCGTCTCTCGACCATGAGTATTCATTCATCCATTCTGTTAAGTCTGCAATGTACACGACACGAATGGGTGGTGCGGCGTGAGCATCTTCTTTCCAAGCGCGAGGAGCATCTGTGCTAGCAGCAGTCCGTACAGTAGGACTTGTGCTGGAGAGAGCCTGCGCAACGGGTCCGGGGAGCAGCTCAATGGAAAGCAACACGACCGTCTTGATGCCAATGTGCTTTAAGTACGGCACAGCGGCAAGCGTTGGGTAGGCGCTACGGTAGATGCCTGCTTCGACCATGGCGAAGTTAGGTGGTGGTGTCCATGTTTGATTGCCCGCGCGGTGGTACATACAGCAGCTGCACTGCTATGCTACTCGAAGGAACCGAGAGGAAAAGATCACGATTAAGTCACCTCCCCAAGGCCGGCTTCTGTGAAGGAAGGAACAGCAGCAAGGAACTGTAGACAAACAACGTGGGGAAAAGGAACGAGGAAGTCACAAGAAGACTCCAAACACAAATCCGCCAGAAGGCGTGCGAAGAAGAGAAAGAAAGAAACCCCCTCTCCTATGATTAATGTCGGCACGCCATTCGTCCATTCTCTCTTTCCAAATCTCTCTCGCCGTTGTTTTTTTTTCTTTCGATTCATTCTTATCAGTTTATGCACCGTTCTTTCTCTTCGTTCTCTCGCCGTTTCACCGCGGCGCTCCTCTGTTACTGAATAACAAAAGGGTAAGAGACTCTTCATTCACCTCCTCAGAGGTGAAGAGAGATCTTCACCCCTTCTCTCACTCTCTTTTAATGAAAAAAAAGGACCACTCTAGCCAGGTTGGGGAGTGTGGTTCTCTGCCCAACCACTCCTTAACATGAAACATTTCACCTGCCCGTTGCCTCTCCCTGCCTCTATTGCTCCTCCTCGGGGTGTGTAACAATGACGTCGTCCACCTTGAGGATCATCTTCACAACCTGCGTGGCGAGCCGCAGCTGGGAGCACTTACCCTGAAGAGTTTCAAACACCTGCTGCTGTTTCATGTCGATTGTGCCACAGTCCATGCAGTCAACACCAGCGTATGGGTTCTTCCCCTCCACCTGCGCAATACGAGCGAGCGAGAGAGATTTAATAGGGTCGAGTCCACTGTTCAGCGCTAAGTTGATGGGAATAGACTCCAGTGCGTCAGCGAAACGACGAATGGCATACTGGTCCACAGTTGACACTGTGTCCGCATGGTTCAGCACAGCCGTTGAGGCGGCGATTTCAGCAGAACCTCCACCATATACGACACGGTTGTCGCGGATAAGGTTGCGTACCATGCATACCGCATCATGCAGAGAGCGCTTCGCCTCCTCAATCATCATCTTGTTTCCAGCCCGAATGAAGATGGTTACCGCCTTGCTGTGTGGGCAGTCCTCGATGAAGATCATGCGATCTTTCGTGGTGCCGAAACCCACCTCACGCACTGTACCGCAAGTTCCGAGCTTTTCCTTGCTGATGTCCTCGAAGCGAGGAATAATGCGGCCGCCAGTGGCGATGGCAATCATCTCCAGCTCTACACCGCCGACCCAGCGCACGGCGGGGAGCTCATTGCGGAAGAGGAGATAGTTCGCCTCATCGTCAAAGCCCCACTGGCAAATGACGAGTTCAGCCCCCGCATCCTTGCACAGCTGGACCTGCTTGCGGAAGTACTCCTGCTCCTGTGAGTGAATATCCGTCATGTGCTCTGCGCTGGAGATGTACACGGTGTGCTTCGTCTTTGGCTTCGGTGGCTCGAAGGGGCACGTCAGAATGGCAATCTTCGGGTTCTTCAGATGCTTCTTCATCTGCGGGTGGGAAAAGTCCTTGTCGATGACGATGCCGTTGACTAAGCATGTCTCCTCAAGGCTGCCGCCAACCTTTCCTTCCACTTTGATGAGGTCAAGATTCACGTCGCGGCGCTCCATGTCCGCCACCGACAGCACCGCATCAACGCAGATCTTCGCCAGCCGATCACGATCGCGATTGACGACCTTCGAGTTCAGCGTGGAACGCGCAGTCTCCAGCAGAAACTTGTACTCCTCTCGGCTGACCGGCACTGTCTCAGCGACTTCCTCAAGACGCCTGCACGCCACCTCACAGGCCTTCTCAAAACCCTCAGAGATGCGGGAGCTGTGGATGCCCTTGTCGAGAAGGCCGGCCGCCTGTTCCAGGAGAGCGCCAGCGAAGCAAACGACACCTGTCGTGCCGTCACCAATCTCGGAATCCTGGGACTTGCTGAGCTCCACCATCAGCTGGCCTATCTCGTTATCAATGTCCATGAGATCGACAATTGTTGCGCCGTCGTTGGTAACAACAACATCGTTGTCCTGTGTCACGAGAATCTTGTCCATCCCCCGCGGGCCGAGGCTAGTCTTCAGGACGTTCGAAACGCTCATAGCTGCGAGGATGTTAGCCTTCTGCGCCTCCACGCCCGTCACACGTTCCTTCTGTGACTGTTCCTTGACCAGCAAAAATGGGCGTCCATACTCGTCAAATGCCAAAGACATGGCTCTCCTTGATGTGGTAAAAGCTAGTAATGTGTAACTAGGTAGAATAATAGCGAAGCAAAAAGACACACACACACACTGAATAACTCCGCGCGCACACACACCCACACAGAGAGAGAGAGAGAGAAAACGTAAGGAATTCATACCCAAAACGAAAAAAAAAGGAGAATACAGATACAATCACAACCACCTCGGTATAGAATGGAGGAGTCGTTTTCATGCCCTCTGTCAAAAAGGAAAAAAAAAAAAGAGAAAGGAGGAGTGAACGAAACATCACAATCTGCTTCCAAGAGTGAAGCTAGAGTTTTAATCTATAACGCGCAATGTATGGAATGTAAAGATACCTCAGCAGTGAAGCATCACCTGTCGTCCTGAATGTACACTGCTGTTGGGTCACGCAGCAAATTCTCCGCGTCACCCGTGTGCTTGTGGTGATGGTGTCCCACAAGGCCCTTCCACATAGCAATGATCTGACCCATGCGAGTACTTTTATCTCGAGAAAAACTATTGTGTGAGGCAAGAGTAGGAGCGCGAGACGGCTTGCCGCTATCGGCGTTGGGGCGGAAAGATGCCACTTCACCCCACGAGGGGTTGCGGTTTGATCGTCGAGCCATGAGCTCGCCACCAAAGCGGGCACGGAAGTAATCCGGTGCACGGGAGTTGCCGCGAACAATGACGCTCTCTTCCGTCCTTGGCGTCCCAATGACAGCGGCCATTGTTGCGCGCGAAGCCGAACTGTCAGTGGCGTGCGTAACGGCGCTGCCTTCTGTGCTGAGGAGCACACAGAGCTGTTCATCTCTGCACCACACAATTGAGCCAATAGGAAAATTCACCTGTACCTTTGCGTAACCGCTCTTGGGTGTGCAGAGCGTGCCAGAGCTGCACTCCCAGCTCAACAGCTTGCCGTCATGGGTGCCTGCTACGATGGCTTCACCGTCTGGAAGAAGCGTCACTGCAGGAATGTACGGCCGCTGGTGCAAAGCAATTTCATGCATCAGTTGGTTTGTTGAGGCATCAAACACATAGGCAACAGGCGACTTCGCGCACGTCACCAACGCTCTACTACCATACAATTCCACCCTTGTAGCTCCTGGGCACTTAAATCGGTGTCGTATTGACATTTGCCATACGCGTTTGCCGTCCTTCATACACTCGTACATAGCACGCCACACCACAACATTCCCCAGAGCATCCACCGACCATAGACGATTGAGCTCAGAGGCACAGATGGAGTGAATGATGGCCTCCTCATCGCCCGATGTCATGTGAACAAGCTCACCGGTAACAGATTCCACTCCAAATGAAAAGGGTGGAATCATCGTCGCTGCGGAAGAACTCTGAAGTGTACTGCGACGATCTCGAGAATTCTGAAGCGGCGTATCCCCTGAATTCAACTCTGTATGTGTCTCTTCAACGTTCTTGTCAAAGCGCCACACAAATAACCGTTGATCGTAACCACATGTTATGATGTGATCCTGGTGGAAAGTAGCATCATACACAGCGAAGCCATGGGGAAGGGTGCAGATGCAGCCCGTATGCAAGTCACTATAAGTATCCATGAGGGGACCAGAGCAGTCCCGCCGCCAGACTTTTACAGTTTTGTCAGAGGAGCAGGACAAAAATAAGACGTTGTCCTTGTGAAACACCACGCGGTGAATGTGTCCAACATGCCCTCGAAATACACCTACGACAGGCATTTCCGGCACTAGGGCACTACGCAGCTGCACTAAATGATCAAAACCACTTGTCACTCCAAAAGCCAAAAATGTGCCATCGTATGAAAAGGCTACACATGTAATCTTACCCTGAAGCCGCGTCCACTGTAGAACATTTGTCGGTGGTACGACGCGCTCATCCACCTCGCGGATGTACGACTTTGCGAGAGCCGCCGTATTCGCGAAATTGAGCGATGTGTATCTAGTTTGTCGCGTTCCGGAAAGCCACATCGGGGCACTGATAGAACGTCTGGGTCGTGGTTCATCGCCAAGAAACATCTGATTCAGCAGATATTCTTCGGACGGCAGTACAGTTGCCTCCTTGGGGTGGTAGGCATCAACATCAAGAACCCTCTTCAGGGAGATAACCATCCCAGCAGAGTACGGCACCTTTCGATTACGCGGGTCCCTGTATACAAAGAACAGTTCCGGCGGCAGAGAAGAAATAGGCACAATTCCTTCTGTCTTTGGCGAGGCATTGGACTGGAAATTCCCCGGTTCCGGTGTGGATATGTGTGTCTGGCACCCCACATTACCCCAAGCGTAAAGGGAGGAGTATGGTAACAAGAATGACGGTACCAACTGCAGAAGCCTTGTAAAACACGAAGTGCGATGTGGGAATGGAAACATTTGAATGTGCAGGCGGTTCCGAAAATTTAATCGTCCATGAGAGTCACGGAGTTTCAAGAATCCCCAGCACACTGGGTATAGACCCTCGCGCCGAAACGGTAACCCTTGAATAGTCTCTCCACCCCCTTCCAGCACCTCTAACAATAGTACAGCGTTGGACGACGCGTCGCAAATGCTCTGCGATGGAACAGCTAAGAGGAGCTCTGCACCCCACCACGGTGCCCGAGTGCGGCGCAACCGAAGATCAACAGGGTGCGTCAACGCAAAAGATGATCGTCCTGTCATGGAGTGAAGTAAGCTCTCTCCTGTGAGTCCGTTAACCAGCCATACCCGCACGAAAGGACGCACAACGGAAGAGTCAGCGTGAAGCGGACTCATCCCCAGAACCGTCAGCGACAGCCGCATAGGGTTGCCTGCGGTGGACTCCTGCTGACCAAAAAGTGTGCCGCTCGTCACATCATCCGCATTTGGGTTCGGCGGCAACGGCGGGTGTGACCGCAGCCCACTGCTCGCATCCCCAGCCCACATGCTGCTTGATGCACCTAATGGAGAGAACATCCCAACCGACGGCCTCGGCGCACGCAATCGTGAACCCTTCGTCGAGCTAGGCCTGGGAACATCACTCAGCGACATCAACTCGTCGTTCTCCTCCTTAAGCAAGAGTTGCCTCGTGGCCAGATCACTATTACACTTTGAATCCTTTACACTTTGTGACGTATCCGAAACAGGGGGTACTTCTATTGCTTCTGTTTTTTCTCGCGGTCTTGTCACACCACGATCAGCTTCCTCAGCCACAGCTGTACGA